AAGGGAAAAGGAGAGAGAGATGGAAACATCAATGATGAGAGAATCATTGATAGGCTCCTCCTGCCTACCCCCAACTGGGGAAAGAGACCACAACCTGAGTATGTGCCCTTGACCGGAATCAAACCTGGGACCCTACAGTCAGCAAGTCGACGCTCTATCTACTGAGCCAAACCACCTAGGGCTCAAGAGATCTTGAATGTGCTCTGGAACTACTGGGATGGCCACAAACAGCATTTTTCTATCTATATATTTAAAACCCTAAGCGATCTTTCACCCATTCAACCAGTTGCTATTACACTCACAGACCACCAGTGGGCAGATGCTCAACGCAGGAGCACTGCTCACCTGACAGTGCCAGACACTGGCCCCCGCAGCAGCAGCAGCAGCAGCGGCAGGCACAGTGGCCGGGCTGAGCGGGAGCACCCAGCCTGGGCTCAGGCTCCTCCCTGGCCATCTGCTGCTTTCATGCACTGTATCCCTTGGCAAATGCCGAACGGCTGGTTTTGTCCTGTCCTGGTCTGGCAGTCCAACATCCTCTAGGGGGTCCCAGATTGCGAGAGGGACCAGGCCAGACTAAGGGACCCCACAGGTGCCTCTAGTCCTATATAATAAAAGCCTAATATGCTAAGTGTCTAGTCATCTGTTCAACCAATCAAAGCATAATATGCTAATGATATGCTAAGGCTGCTCAATGCTTGCTATGACATGCACTGACCAGCAGGGGGCAGATGCTCTGACCAGCAGGTTAGCTTGAGGCTGAAGTCCAACCAATTGAGACTGAGTGAGAGAGGCTGGACACACCCTGGAACCCTCCCACTGTCCCTCCTCAGTTGGCAACCTCCTGTGTCCTTCCCCAGCCCTGATCGCACACTGATGGGGTACCTCAGCCTGGCCTGCACCCTCTCGCAATTCAGGACACCTCAGGGGATGTCAAAGAGCCGGTTTTGGCCTGATCCTGCAGGCCAGGCAGAGGGACCCCACTGGTGCACAAATTCGTGCACGGGGCCTCTAGTATTATATAATCCCTCTGTAGTGAGACCTTTATTCAGGCTATGAACCTCTGAGAAGACTTATCTCAGAGATCAAAGAGAAATGGTGCGGGAAATGGTGCTTCTTGATGAGCAAGGAGGTGTGCTTCCTGTCTCTAGGGCAGAACTGTCTTCTCTCCTCAACTTCCCCCCAAAAAAATTCTGGGAGGGCAGCAACTCATTCACTGTTGCAGACGGAGTGCCTGGCTCAGGAGACACTGCAGCAGATGCCACTGAAAGCTGTGGAGAAAGCAGCACCAGTGCCAGCGACGGAGAGGGGCCTGGTCTCCCTCGGAAAGCATATTCTAAGAGAAAACAGCACTCTCCAGGCCAACATAGAAGAAAAACAATGAGGTCAAATAATCGCTGAGTTCTGGTCTAGAGCCGACAAATGAGAAACAGTGGTTTTGCTAGAGATGACAAAGGGCTGACAGCAGTCTGTTGGTGTTTTGCAGTTAAACTTGATGATCTCATCACAAAATCACCAAATACCAGAGCTGGGAGAGATTTTAGGAAATTTGGATCATTTCGCTCATTTGACAGATGAGGAAATGAAGATGAAATGCCGGGGCCAGTGCCAGCCGTTTCCGCACGTCAGGGTCAGCAGGTGGGGTCCTGCCTTCCCCATCTGTAGGCTCAAAAGAGAGTTTTCAGAAGCTGGAGAGACGTGCTTCTAAAGTCTGCAGTTTGTTCCCAAGTTAAAGTCCCATTTAAAACTCCCTCTGGAAAAACAAACCCTCCCTTGATGAGCTTGTCCTCTTCCTCTCCGTGAAGGGACACTGCCCTTTGCACCTGGCTGCCAGGAGCTCAGCTCCATCGAACACTTAGCCCTCGTAACAGTAATGGCCCCGTTTTTGACAAACATACTTATTTCCCCTCCTCTTTATGTCTTTTCATTATTTTACAACTATTTCAATGGCTTTGTTGTATATGCATTTTTTTTGTAAGTCACCTCAAATTCTGTTTTGGAAGACAGCCAGGCGTAAATCACCAATAAACCAAAATGGAAAGATTTTGCTTCTCTCGAGCACTGCAGCTGCTGCCAGCTGTGTGTTTCAGATCCCACCCTGACCTAAAACTCGGACACCTCCCGGCTTCACATTCACGGAGCGGAAGGCCACCACAGGGCGACAGCACACGTGACTAATTACAAACAGCAGGGTCTGCCTGCTAACTAGACGAGGCCCTGGAAACTTCTCTGGAATTAAAACAAGATGTGGAGGAGATGAGCTTCCTGCGCGACGTGGCAGGCCTGGCAGGCCTTCACCAGCAGGCGGGCGGGCGGGGCAGCCCCTGGCCGCTCCGCAGGTGGTGGACCCTCTCTGACCGGCTCCACCCTCTGCTGGCTCCCCCCGCCTGGGAAGCCAGATCCCGCAGCCTTCATCTCTTCTGGATTCTAGCCACGTAGAGATTAAAGCACTCGTCTTTCTGAAAACATGAGGCTTTTTTTCCTCCCTAAAATAAAATTCCCCTAAACCACAAAAACTTAACTCAGGCAGGATTAAAATGCAACAAAGAAGTCTCTGCCGAAATCCTTCCCCTGCTCCCTTCCAGCTGCAGTCTTCCGTCCCCATCTCTGTCGGGCAGTGAAGGAAGCGCTAATAAATCCCAGAAAATGTAACTTCTCCAGAGGGCACTAGACTTTCACGTTTATACATTTGACCTTGAGACTTCCTGTGGCTCTTTTATTTTTCACTCTTCCCTGAGTTGTACAATTTTGTTCTTTATTCCTAATGGTGTTGGCCACAATTTTCGTGGCAGTCTGAGAGAGAGGTTAAAAAAGATGGGCTCAGAGGTCCTCGCCTATGGAAATACTAGCAGTCCTTCCCTAACATCCATCTAGATTCTAGTCATTGATCTTTTCCTAGCCAGAGCCAATTTGTCCAGATAGAGACAAAAATGCTGCTCCAACCCCTTAAAGAATGAGACAGTTACAAAAACCCAAGTTTCTCTGGAAACATATCAGGGAAATTATGAAATGCAGAAAAGACTAGCATATGACATCAGCCTAACATGGCAGAGCTCACCTGGGCCCAGGCTGCCGCGGGACCTGTATCCTGATCTATCGTGTAGTACCTGTGAGCTCCAGACAAGACGCCAGACTCTGCATCACTTTCCTCACCCAAACGGCAGTGATGCCAGTGTGTGCTGCACAGAGCAGGCTTGCAAACTTGGGTGCATCAGAAACTATGGAGGGCTTTTTAGAACACAGATCACAGAGCTCACCCCATGGCCTCTAATGCAGTGGGTCTATGCAGGTGCCTGAGAATCTGAATTTCTACAAAGCCCTCTCTCCCCCCTACCCCACCGTGACACTGGTGCTGCTGGTTAAACATACTCTGAGAACCACTATCTCAGGGTGATGGGGGAGACGACATAGTCAATATACATAAACTCAGTGTCAGCAATGGCTGTTTTTATGACTGTTGAGCACTGTGCCTGGTTAGCTATGTTAAATGGTGTCAGTTATTATCATACAAGTTAATATCTTACAAGTTTACTATAATTTGTAAGTCCATCAACTTACAAATTATAGTAAACTTGTAGTTGAACTGTGATATAATCTATAGTAATAAAAGTGTGATATGCTAATTAGACCGGACACCCTTTCCGATGATCTTCTGGACCAAGCCACGGTGACCGGGCCAAGACAGGTGGCAGAAACCCCGCTCCCCTACGGCTCCCGCCTCTTGCACAAATTTCCCACATTGGGCCTCTCAAGTCTGTTATAAGAAACCTCAGTATGAAAATACTGTTAAGCTCCTAATAGAAATACCCTTATTATAAAAAGCATATACACTCATGAGGGGTTGCAAGTGGTTTTAAATACCCAAAAGCAGCCGAAACCGGTTTGGCTCAGTGGTAGAGCATCCTCTGCGGCCTGAAAGGTCCCAGGTTCGATTCTGGTCAGGGGCATGTACATTGGTTGCCGGCACGTCCCTAGTAGGAGGTGTGCAAGAGGCAGCTGGTCGATGTTTCTCTCTCATCCACGTTTCTAGCTCTCTCTCTCCCTTCCTCTTTGGAAAAAAAAATCAATAAAATATATTTAAAAAATAAATAAATACCTAAAAGCAATTCTGTAGATCACTGACTCCCCCCAAAAAAATATTTTGTCAGAAACCACCTGTACATTTACTGAGGCAGAAGTGTTCCGTTTTTCTCTTAGTTACGGTAAAAGTGCCAAAACTCATTTAGTGATCATGGTCAAAAAGAATCCAACTCGCTTCCAGTAATTAAGGAGCCGGCAAATGCGGGCCTTGCAAAGGCAATCAGAACCGTCCAGGGTTCTAAGGGGCCTGGAACACGCAACGGCTGCGAGACAAGAGGTCCGCAGGAAGCTCTCCCCAAAGGACACCGCGCAGCCCTGGCCTGCGGCGGCCGGCGCCCACACGGAGGGTGCTCCCAGGCAGAGCGGTGGGTGCTCGGCTCTGCGCAGAGAACACCAAACTGCTGTGGAGGAGCCAGAGGTTCTCTCTGGGGGCTCCGGCTTGAGTCTGCACTAGACCGAGGGACAGGGAAGCCCAGTGTCCTCTCTCCGCCACGCAGCACTCCTCCCAAGGAGAAAACTTTTCAATAAACTTGGGTCCAGTGCCTCTTCCTTCTAAGAACAGTGATTCGAGATTCAGACAGGCAGCCAGTCTTGGTAAATAGTAACTTCTACAGGTCAATCAGACTTACACGTTTGTTAAAAAGTCTCCAATGAAACTTGAGAATTAGGAGGCTCTTGAAAATTTACACAAAGGGCAGGTTTACCGCATGCAAGACGACGCCTGGCTTTGGCGGTTTACGTGTAAACAGAACGTTGCCTGAGCCTGCGCTGGACCGTGTGCGCGACCCTCGCGGGAGCCCTCGGTGGGCGCCGGCGGGCGGGTCTTCGCCGCCGCAGGTTCGGGCCCAGCTGGCAGCTCCGTGCGCTCTGCCCGCCGCGCGGCACAGCCTCCGGCCGGGCGGGGGCGCGGCGGCGGGACTCACCTCGCCAACTTCTCCGGGCGCGGTGCGCCCCGGCGGCGGCCGGCTCGGGGGCGCGGACGCGGGGGCCGGTGCGGCGGGGCGCCTGGGCCCGCCCAGATGGGGGCGCCCCGGCCGGCGGGGCGCGCGGGGGCCGGCGCGGGGGGGCGCGGCGTGGCGGGCGCGGGGCGCGCGGGCGGCGGGGGCGCGGGGCCGGGGCGCAGGGCCCGCAGCGCGAGCAGCAGCACCGACAGCGCGAGCAGCAGCAGCGCGGCCGCCCGGCAGCGGGGCCTCATGGTGCGCGGCGCCCGGGCGGCGGGACGGGAGCTGGCGCCTCCCCGCCGTCCGCGGGGCCTGGGGGCCCGCCAGCGGGGAGGAGGCTGCGGGCGCCGGCCGAAGGAGGAGCCCCCACGCCTACCGTACTGTGTGGAATAGCTGCCCCGCGCTCCGGGCGCAGGTAGCAGCCTCGGAGCCTCCTCTTACTCCCCCACTAGGTACGGCGCCATCCTCCTGCCCTCCCCTCACCGCTCACCGGCGCCTCCACCCTGTACTTCCCAGTTCGCTCCCTCATCCTCTCACTGCCAGGCTCTCTTCCATCTGACTACTTATTCCAGGCATTTCCCCTCTAATTTAGCTCCATCCGGCTAGCCAAGCGCTAAAGTGCCTCTCCAAACGTCCACCAGGCAGGCCGGCCACTGATGGACAGCTGTTGGATAAAATAGACTCAAGTCCATATAATCTAAAGAATTTACAGAATTAATTTCAGAGTCTAGGTTTGAAATCTAACTCTGCTGCTTATTTGGTGAGGCTGAGCAAGTTGCACGATTTTCCTAGATTCAACCTCCCTGCGTGTAAATGGGCGAGCTGGCTGCTCTCCATGAGTGCTGTGTAGATTTACATTAAATAATGACGCAAAGAAACCGGTCAGTGCCAGGCTACCAGTGCCCAATAAAAGTTCTGTGGTAATTAGCACAACATAATGTAGCTTGTTCAGCCTATATAATAAAGGACTAATATGCAATTCGACCAAATGTGGAACAACTGGTTGCTATGATGCATACTGACCACCAGGGTGCAGACGCTCAATGCTGGAGCTGCCCCCTGGTGCTCAGTATGCACCAAGGTGGCCAGAGAGAGCCTAAGCCAGTTGTCGGCAAACTCATTAGTCACCTGAGCCAAATATCAACAATACAACGATTGAAATTTATTTTGAGAGCCACATTTTTTTAACTTAAACTTTTTGTAACGCCACTTCTTCAAAATAGACTCACCCAGGCCATGGCATTTTGTGGAAGAGCCACACTCAAGGGGCCAAAGAGCCGCATGTGGCTCGTGAGCTGCAGTTTGCCAACCATGTGCCTAAGCCATCAGTCAGACATCCCCAGAGGGCACTTGGACTTCAAGAAGGCTCAGGTCAGGCTGAGGGACCCCCTGAGTGCTCTAATTTCATACACTGGGCCTCTATTCCTATCTAATAAAAGACTAATATGCAAATTAACTATCACTCCACTACACCCACAAGCCACGCCCACTAGCCAATCAAATTAATCCCAACCAAGATGGCTGTGGCCACAGAGAGCAGGAGGGAAGCTTGGGTTTCCCTAGCAATGGAGAAAGCCAAGCTTTCCATACATCCTGGCAGGTCCATGCCTCCACTCAAGAATACAAAGTTTCAATTATAAAAGGTAAATAAATTTCAACAGAAATGGCGGCAGCCATGGAGCTGGAAGAGCAGGAGGCTATAGTTGTGCTGGGTGATGGAGGAAGCCAAGCTTCTGCAGCCCTGGCTGGCTCAGGCCTTCACTCCAAGTTTCAATTGCAAAAGATAAATAAATCCCAGATACCTTCACTTGGGACGCTGGGGGGCGTGGCAGGCCTGCAAACCACCACAGGCTCCTCACCCATGCCACCCCACGCCCCTAAGGAACCCCCCACTCTGATCCAGGACACATTTCAGAGCAAACCAGCTGGCCCCCACTCATGCACCAGGCCTCTATCCTATCTAATAAAAGAGTAATATGCAGATTGACCATCGCTCCAACACACAATAGCTGCCCCCATGTGGTCAAAGATCCTGCCCCCATGTGGACACAAGATGGCCACCACAAGATGACCAGCAGGGGAGGGCAGTTGTGAGGGACCAGGCCTGCAAGGGAGGGCATTTGTGGGCGATCAGGCAAACAGGGGAGGGCAGTTGGGAGGCACCAGCCTGTAAGGGAGGGCAGTTGGGGGAAATCAACCATGTAGGGGAGGGCAGTTAGGGGTTACCAAGCCAGCAGAGGAGGGAAGTTGGGGGCAAATAGGCTGGCAGGGGAGCAGTTAAACATCAATCAGGATGGCATGGCAGTTGTTAGGGGGTGATCAGGCTGGCAGGCAGAAGTGGTTAGGAGCAATTAGGAAGGCAGACAGGTGAGCAATTGGGAGCCAGCAGTCCTGGATTGTGAGAGGGATGTCCGACTGCCTGTTTAGGCCTGATCCCACCTTCCCCAGACAAGGTTATCAGTGCTGGTGCCAGGCCAGGCCTCTGGTTGAGGTCTCAAGGCCCCAGTACATATGGGCTCTTTAAGAACCTGCAAAAGGGGGCAGGAAACACTCCATATTTGGGAGACAAAGAAGGTAAAATCATATAAATAGGGAGAATTCCTGCATATTGGGGCCCAGAATTTGAGAGACATTTTCCTCTGGACCTTGTCTAATAAAGGTAACTCCATCTCTCTGGTATTGCTTTGTTCTTTGGTTTCCTGTAACCTTATTGGTTCCCTGACTGGGAATAACTTGTTTGGCCCTTATTGGCCTTTGGTGAATGGGCCAGATTTGGGACCTGGGGGAGCCGGATAGGCCTCCGGGAGGTACCACTCTGCTGATTTAGTAGAATGAACCAGGGGTCTCCGGGCGCTCCTGGACCTCATCCCAGGACCCGGCCAGCATCTAGAGAGAGTGGACAGACATTTCTGGACCTGTCGACAGAAACTGTAAGGTAGCGTCCCTTCAGTTCAACCCACTCCAAGTGAGTGGAAGGGGGATCTTGATTACCTTCTCAGAGGCCATAGAGCTTCCTCAGACAAATTAATCAGGAGTCAAGAATCAGGTGACTGTTTAAACTCTGGGTAAATATCTGGTAGAATATAAATGTGGGACTCTGGAGGTGAATGAAGAAATTATGAGTTCACTCTGTTGTTTGTATGAGACCAGCCAATTTGCTACCGAGAAAGGGGGACTGGACACAGTCTTAACTCCTCTGATAGTTTCTCACCAAGACATTGGTGAGAATTCTGTTCTGGAGTATGGGTGCTGGGAGTGCCCCCAAACCCGTCTGGGGAGTTGGGCATGGTTTCATTTATCTGCTCAGCTCCAGTTTGGGCTGGTCTACTGAGAGAGTGTGAGTATGGATGTTTGTCTGTCTTGGCATAATTATCTGCTCATTAACTGGTCTGTGTGAAGCGAAAGCTACTTTGTGCCTTCTGGCTGTACAAATGAGAGTAAATGTTATCTCTTTCTGTTGTTTAAATTGTTTTAAAATAGGACTGACCTGTGGTGATGGTCTGCAAAGGTTTTAAGCAGCGCTGTTGAGTTATTTTTCTGAGATGTTTGCTCTCTATCACAGTGGAGGGAATCAGCCCATTTAGCTAATAAAAATTTCTCTCTAATTTTGTATAAGTAAGAGTTTCAGTTTGCTCTGATTTGTAAATTTGTTGTATTTAAATTGAAATTTTAAAGACCTAGGGTTAATTTAAAGGTATAAATTTGTGACATTTCAAAGAACAAAGAATTTTTATTTATGGCTTCCTTATCTCTTTTGGTGCCGAGACTTCCAGGGACAGGACTTACAGCTCCACGGGGTGGACAGGTTTACAGGCCCCGTCCCTGCCTGTGACATCATAGTCCAACGTGGACCTAAGGTTGAAGCTGTTATTAACTGTCTATGGACACTCGGTTCTAGCAGCATCTGTAACTGAATTAAAGATCTTTTCTTTCAGGAGGCCATCCAGGCTTTTGGTTTCAAGAAATCTCCCTACACACTCTTATCATCTGCTATCTTTCCAGGCTGACTAACAGTCATTTTCCCACAGGTCGGCAAACCTCAGCCTTCGAAAGGGAGGACTACTACAGCAGTAGTCTGCAGTTTGCTCTGAAACTCCCACTGTTTCTATTTCCCCCTCGGTAGAAATTGTCTTCCTCTGACTCATAATCGGAAAGGGAGACAAGCAACTGGACTGGGGGGTGGGACAGGGTGAGGAGGGGGTAGTCAGAGAAATCAAGAGTGGTAAAGGATGCTGAAACCGGTTTGGCTCAGTGGATAGAGCATCGGCCTGTGGACTGAAAGGTTCCAGGTTTGATTCCGGTCAAGGGCATGTACCTTGGTTACACGCACATCCCCAGTAGGGAGTGTGCAAGAGGCAGCTGATGATGATTCTCTCTCATCGATCTTTCTAACTCTCTATTCCTCTCTCTTCCTCTCTGTAAAAAATCAATAAAATGTTTTTTTTGTTTTTTTTTTTTAAAGTGGTAAAGGAGGAAGATTTAAGATCCTCTAGGAGACTAAGGGCTTAGAGTTAAAATCTATGAGGGAAAACAATGGTTACAGGTTACAGATTTGAATAAGAAAAAAGAATCCTTAAATGTAAAAAGCCTGGTTATACAGGATCTCAAATCGCTTGCTTTATTTCCCCTGCTAAGGACAGAGTAAATGGTTAATGCAGAGAAGGGGAGGGGGGTGTCAGCAGTTAATTATGAAGCTGGGAGAGATAGGTTTTTGTTTATTTTTACTGGCTGCAGATTGCTCCGCTGGCCTAGGTGTCTTATCAGAACATCTGGCTGCCCTGGTGATCTAAAACTGCTTTCTAGGCAGACTCATCCCCCAGAGCCAGATGGAAGAAAGGGGTGAGGGGACTGATGAAGAAGCCATAACAGCTAGCAGACATTTACCTGAGCTGCCCTGCTGCTGCTTAGGCCTTTGGCTTGTTGGCGGTAGCAGTTAAACCAGAAGCCAGTGACTGCTGCTAGTCTCCCTGCAGCCCCAGGAATAGAGCAGCAGGCCCGGGATCTGTGAAAGCAGCAGATAGAGCTAGTGAAAGCTCTCTGCTTGCAAATGTGCTGAGAGGGTTCAGCACCTGCCACTGCTGGGAGCGGAGGGGCTGAAATCCCTTTCAGTGCACTTTCTTGGGAGAGGCCTGGTCACTGCTCTGCCACAAAGGGGACTGGCGAAAAGACAAGGGACCTAATACCCAAGCCACTGCCACCGGAGCGCCTTGCAATATGCAGAGCTGTTTCTAACTAAACTCTGGCTGTTTGGGTC